GTGGCTATACAACCGGTCTCAAACAAGACCAGAGGCTGAAATGGCCGGATGGTTGCTCATTTTATAAAATCGCCTGTCCCAACATGGACAAAGGCGTCCGGCGACACCCCTTCGGGTGCAATCGCCGCATAGAACAGACTATTTGTCGGTTCTACGTACCCATGCAGACGACAAAGATTGAACGACCTAATTGGTCAACTCATAGCCGTCTGACCAAAATGACATGTGAAGAATGATCAAGTTGCCAAATACCGGATGCCATGGGGCATCAGTCGGTCACCGGCTGAAGGTTTCACTTAGGTTATCTATTCCAAAATTGCACTTCCCACCCCAATTGGGGCAAAAGAGTCGTTCAATGGCTATGAAATCTCTACCTAGACGGACAAACGCCGTCTGTGTAGTGACTGGAACGCCTGTCGGTGTACGGCTGTGCACTTGGTTTGGGGCAATCACTATTGTGATTGATCGACTTGCAAACATATCATGCTCTTTACAGCATCAGACGTTTTCAAGTCAATCAACCAACTCCACTTGAAACCAACCACACAGCCGTCTAGGGGCAAGGACAACCGGACTATTGATTAGTTAGGCAAAAATGAAAAATCACCGCATGCTTTTGATAAGTTGGGCAAAAATGAAAAATTAAAATTTGCACAAAATAAAAATTCAGATGCAAAATGATCAAAACCGACTCAGTCGGTGCATTTAATAAAGTCCACCCAACCAAACGGTCGTAGTGGATTAAAATGATAACCGGACCCCGTCCGGAAGAAAGAAATTGTTAATTAACACGACTCCACAGCCGATAAATACAAGGATACTCGGCACGCAGGCCGGAAAAAGCAAGTTTTGGCATACAGACGCTGAATAAAAGAAGAAATAAAAAAGCAGAGATTGGCATACTGTCGCTGAATGGTCACTTCTGGCCTGCAGACGGTGCCTCCTGGTCCTCCTTCTCTTCATCATCTGAGGGTATCTCCTGTGCTTCACCAGGACCAGGAAGCTCAGGCGCGGGAGGCTCGTTGTTGGAGTTGACCCAGGCTTCGAAAGAGGCAGGCTCTGGATCACCTTGTTCTCTCAAGTACACCACGTCCTCGGCGTACCTATGAGCCAGTGCCCAGGAGCCATAATCCACGTCCGGGTACAGGGTAGCCCAGGCGATCTTCATCCGGGCGTCATCGTCAGCGTCACTCTCAGCAACAAGGCGGTTTTGCTCCGCCTCCAGGGTTGCTGCAAAGTTTATCTGAGCCTGAGCAGCCTCCTTCTCCAGCCTCTGAACCTTGGTCTTCAGTTTGGTGTTCTCTTCGGAAACACCTTTAAGTGTGCCAAGGTCCGTCTGGGCCTTCTTGAGCGCCTCACCAGCCTTTTTGGCGCTCTCGTCCGCCTTCTTTTGGGCCTCCTCCACCTCCTTCTTGGCCGTCTCAGCATCCGTCGCCCGCTGATTTGCCGTCTTCAGATCTGACTCCAGCTGCTGGATTTTAGACACCTGTGTCATAATTATTGCTTTAGTTTCAAGTTCATTTACGATAGTCGAGTGTAAAGAAATATTATCAGCGTCTATGGCGGACTTCTTGGCCCTTTTTATCTCTTCCCGTTTTCGGGAATAAGGACGTTTGAGCCCGTCCACCCGCAACATGGCCTGCAAAAAGTCAGGCAATATAAGTGTTGCAGGCGGGATAAAACACTTGGAAAAAACAAAATTGAATTGACAAGTTCCTTACCTCAGCCAGAAGGGATAGAATGCGTTCAAGATTGAACGTCTCTATCCCAGGGATATTGTCCTTATCCCTCTTCCGGACGGCTTCCAGCATGGCCTTGGCGTGCTTCTGGACGCATGGCCAGCGGGGAGATTGATCTGCACCACAATCAATACGTGATGAGTGCGAGACTAAGGCGGCACCTATTTGTTGTCGACCGTCTGAAGATGACGTCTGTTGAGAGTGAATTTCACCCGTAAAGGCCACCCCAGCTCAAGCGGGGATTCAAAAGGGTTCTTACCTTCAGAGCCAGCCAAGCGGGAACCGCTTGCAGGCGTGGTGAACCCCGCGGCTGCTGATAAGGGGTTGACAAGATCAAGGCACAGGCTGCCGCCTACCTACTCGAGTCGCCCCGCTATCCGCATCTGTTGATGCCCGGCTGAGGCACCAGGGGTTGATGCAGAGGTGGATTTTTTTATTTTGTTGAGAACGGCAGGGTTCTCCTCCCTAGCCCGTTTGAGTTGTTTCTCAAACGACTTTCCAACCTCTCCTCCCTGCAAAAATAACCAAAGTTAAGGTTAGCACCCAGGAAAAATGATTTTTAAAAGGATCAATTTATGAAAGGGTCAGTCGATTGATACCTTGGCCTTGACCTCAGCCGCAGCTTTCTCCGCAAGATCTTTGCAGATGGTTGCAGAAGACCGCTTGGGAGTTTTCTCCGACTGCAACATGTTTAATGCTTCTTCTGCAAAAAGAAAGAAATCGGTCAATATCATAAATCAATTTCGATAGAAAAATACTACATACGGATATAAAATCAGGCGCATACGTTTTGTAAACATGTGCCCTAGCCCGCAGGCGGCTAGGAAACACTCATCCCTGAGCCAGGCGCTCTTGGGGATCCAGTTCTTGGGAACTTTTATTGTTTCCCCGGTTGACAGAGTTGCGTCTGTGAGGCCGAAAAAGTCTGCCTCAATTATCTTGTTAAAATCTTCCTCTGGGATCCGGGGAAGAGCGCACTTCCTGCCTAACAAGTCGGGATTCTTATTGTACGGACGGAATTCATAATTTTCCCGTTTGGTTGGGGCTGACATCAGGTAGAACCTGTGCTTCCAGACATCGAACTTCGAGACCTTGTCCAAGGTCATCATATATTGAGGCTGCGTGGTTAGAGTGTACCACACCCTCCAGCCGCCTGGGGTTAAGCCCCTGAAACTCGCAGGCGGCAACATACCCCAGAATGTTTGTCCAAGAGTTGGGGGTAAGTTGCTAGATTCCGAGGCCGTAGCCTCTCAAAATTGCCTTCACCGCCTGGTGAAGGGGAAAGCGGAGACCAGCCTTGAACGCCGCCTCATAACAGCCAAAATAGCTGTTGGCGTTCTGTTCATCGTTCTCCCAGGCGATGGTGCCATTCTCAGGCGGCACCCGGATTCTATACCCGTCTCCTAGCGGGTGTATTTGGGTAAAATTCTGTAAGTTCTCCTCCATTTGGATCCGGTCTTTGGAGGAGACGTGGATGTTGAAGGGATCATCCTTCTCGTTCCACTTTTTCCTTTCTTCCTCCTCGCTATCCGGAAGCGGGGGTAAGTCGTCACTGCTCTCAGAGGTAGAGGCAGAGCTGTCGCTCTCCGTCTCCTCCTCACTTTGGTTCAAGGGGGCAGAGGCGGCCTCGTCACCGCCTTGGTCGCATTCCTCCAAGAAGGAATCAGCAGGAGTTGAAGGGGCGCGCGGAGAGGATCTCTCCAGAGCCGTCTGGCCTCCCAGACCAGACGTTTCTCCCTCAGGCGTTTGGCCGCCTGAGCCTTCGCTCTTGTAATTTGGATCAATTGCCGTCTGCTTTATCTGAGCCATTGTGTCCTGCACAGACACGTAACTGGTCGGAATCTGAGGCAAAGGGTGGTCCCAACACCCCGAGACGGCACTCCTAGTCCTAAACTCAGTCGTCCTTGGTGACCGGCTGGACTCTAACCTAGGTTGTGCCGTGTGTGTTGGTGATGCATCCATTTATTGCAATAAATATGTACAAGCGGTGAAAAAAGAAAAAGAGCTAAAAGAGGCAAAGACGGTACCTTTTGAAGAGATATCTGAAACTAGGCGGGTCCGGCTGGGTCTCTGGAAGACGAGCTTTCTTGCTTGCACCTGACTCAAACGGGTGACGTCTGCTCTCTCAAAGTTCTCTCTAGAATTTTTTTTGTAAACGTACCAAAATTATGAGGGTAAACGACTATATATAGAGGGTAAAAACGGGGGCATTTCCGTAATTTACCCGGAAGGTGAACGGTGACTCTTTAATGGTAAAATTACCGCCAATCGGAGTGTGACACATGTCACAGATGCCACGTGGCGTGCCACGTCACATCTGTGAGGGGCAAATGTTTAGGGTAATTTTACCCCGCCACGTGGTCCAATTAGAGGATGACACGTGTCAGCCTCAGGATGGCCCAAAGTGGATCAATCCCTGCTTGACACGTGTCAATCCAGAAATTAAGGGAAAAAGGCGGCCTTCAGGCCCAAATCCCGAGAAAGCCGCAAAGCGGCGCAGCCCACCACTGATTAGGGTACAGTGACCTAATCAGGGGCACAAATCCCAAAGACCCTATAAATAGGGAGATATCCCTCTTTTCGGGGGGATGTTTTTTGATCATTTATTACACATTTATTCTTTGATAGAGACATTCTGAGCTTGGAATCCGAGCAGATCCCTACCTAAATTTCCGCACCTTTTTCTCCCTTCAAGTTTCTAACTTGTGCGTCGGAGGTGGAGCACCACCCAACTGGTGTCTCCGTTTGTTTTGCAGGTACAACTCACCCCGGATCAGTGTTCGTGTTGTAACTCTCCCGAGGGACAAAAACACCCAAAACAACGATGATTTTATAGAGAAGACCATCTCAAGAACAGGCAAGTTGCATTTCTGGACGCCATTGGAGTTATCGACACTCTAATTTGTCGCCATTATTGAGCTAATTGGAGTCCTCAGTGTCGCGTAGACATTGTTGAACCACCATTGGAGTTCGCAATGTTGCGTCGCCATTGATGAATTGCCATTGGAGTTCTCAGAACATCGGAAGGGACGACATTGTTGACAGTAGTGTTGTATGAAAATATGATTTGAATTTTATTTTTTTTTATTTTTTTTTCAAAAAAATTAGTTAAACAATACAATTGTGAAATTAAAATTCCAGTCTATCCAAACAACATGTAGAATTTCAAATCCTAGAATCTAAATTCTAGCAATTTCCCAAACACCATTTTTGGAATTAAAAATAAGAATTTCAATTCCAAGAATTGAAATGAATAATTTAAAATTAAATATTGATTCCCAAAGACTACCTAAAAGTATTTAAAAACGGAGGAATTACTATAGATTTAAACTTTTGGTTACCAGTCGGAAAAGAGAGAGGGTAAAAAAAAAAAAAAAGAAAAGAAAAAGATATGATTATTGGGCTAGTTTGATGGACTGAAACATTTTGAACGGACTAAATGAGTAATTGGGTTTACAGTCGAGCCATTTAATCTGCAGTTTAGTGGAGAAGAAATTAGGCCCACTAAAATAAGCAAAACTTGCAATCTCCTCTTTGGCAAAGCTTCTCTCTGTCGTCGCTCTAAATTAAATTCTCTGACGCATTAACGCAAACACTTACCAGGCAAAGCATTCAAACACAATCTTCAGAGGTATTCAACCCGCGTTTTCTTACATCTTGCTTTACTCTTCTGCGTTAATTTTCATTTTTTAATTCTTAATTTACTTTTAGTGTAAGATTTGGCATTTAATAACTTAGCTTTGTAGTTCATCAGCAAGTCAATTCATCCCTCAATTCTTTGCTTTCGTAATCTTCGATGTAAATTCCAAGTATTTTTATAAGAATGGGTTTACACTTACCCATTCATCAATTTAAAGTTTTAAGCTTTAGGTAGTTATTTTCTTGTTTTTACTTTGCTTTGTTAATCATTTTGATGATTTTTGTCATGTTTACTTAACCTAATTGGTTAGTACTTAGTATGGACTATGAATACTAAACACTTATCTTCGCTACTTTAACTCCACCATTTTGTTATATTCAATAATTTACATTTATTAATTTTGTCATGTATGTGTAGAACTGTTGAGTTGCACAGTCACAGTAAAGTTACAAAATGAAATATTGTCATTGCTGATTAACTTAAGTTAATAATACAACAAAGCTGAAGGCCTTTTTTTTTGAAATTGGGTTAGTTCGAATGCATGAACCAAGAATCTAGTTTATGCTCAAAATGCCTTGGAGGTTTTTGGGAAAGGCTATTTCTTTATAATTACAATCTATGTTAGATGGACTCGGGTAACCATGTCAGACATGGCACACGGGTTCATGTCCAAGCGTTTGACTCGACTATTTTGTGAAAAAACTCGATTTTGAACTTAAAGTAAAGTGTCCAAGAGTCGAGGGTTCAACTTGGGTAATTGAAGTGAAACGAAGAGTCCATGTAACATGTGACCCCTTTAATTAATAAACCTGCTTGTAACTTGTATGTCTGCATCCAGAAAGATTTTCAGCAAAAAACAAATGATTTCTGGTTTTTATCTAACCTTATACCGTGTTCTTTGGGGAATTTTGTTATGCAGAAGATGCAGAGTATAAAGAGCTCTATTTTGAGGCATTTTAGACTTCATGCTTCCTTCAGGACTTGGTCATTTAATGAAAATGCAAGTCTACTGAACATATTCAACAGGCAACTGTGTACTACTACGGGTTACAGCGATGACCAGATAATGGATCGAGTGATTGGCTTGGTGAAGAAGTTCAATAAAACTGACACCACCAAGGTAAGAATCAATGTTACTAATGTTGGACTCGGTCTTTGCCCTTTGCACTTTCTATTAGAGTAATTATTATTTTAATTTCCTCTGATACATGAACAACTTACATTACTCAACCTACTTGACCTGTCAAGAACAGGTAACTGAAACAACTAATTTCCAAAAGGATCTATGCTTGGACAGCTTGGAGAGAGTAGAGCTTGTTATGGCCTTCGAGCAGGAATTCTCCATTGAGATTCCTGAGGAAAAAGCTGATAAGCTTACTTGCTGTGCTGATGTTGCCAAGTATATTTTAGATGAAACAAAGCAAAGTGCTGCCCAGAATAACTGAAATTTACCAGGTATTGATGATGGAATCTTATAGTCATACTAGATGCTATCTAATATTCTAATTTGTATTGACTTGGGAAGTTCTCTTTGATTCTCTAAAACTCATACGAAGTATATGCAAGTTTTTTTTTCTCCAGCACTAAATTGAGTTTCTTTCCTTAGCTATCTGTGTAAGTTTTGTTCAAATGTGTGGCCCTTTTTAGTATGTTGCATGTATGCTATTCCATTATTCATATAAAGTGGCTTCCGGTATGTGTTAAAAGTTTAAATCAAAGCTCTCATGACAATCCACTATGATACGTAGGATACATCACCAAAAGTTACAACAAAATTACATCTATATACATGTAATATACATAGTGGTATACAAAGTATATATATATTTTTTTTCCATTTTTTTTTTCCTTCAAAAATTGTAATTGTACTTTGCTGTTTTTTCACTTCAAGTAAATGAGTTGGTGGTATTGAAACCTGGGACTCATTGCTATGACTGCAGCGCCATCCGAGTGAGCCATTATACCTTTTATCTCAATCATCAGTATTGTACTTTGAAATACCACCTACCATGACATCCCCTGCTCATCCTTTTGTCCTTTCATGCAAGCTTCTGATTTCTCAGGCATTATATTCAAAAGTTCTATCTTTCCAGTTGTATATGTACGGATTCCATTTCCGACAGAAGAGAGCTTGATTTCTTTGTTTTTTATAGTTGATGGATGGCAAGGGGAATCCTTAGGCAGCTTTAGAATCTTAACTGAGCACTTCTTGTCTAAGTTTGGGATCCCATGAAGATTGGAGGGAAGTTCAATCATGAACTCTCCATATTCGTCAGTAACAGCTTTAGCCCAACTAGGACTTTTAACTTTCTTGTTTGCTTGACATTCTGCTCCAACCAAGGCCCCTATGAAAATTGAAAATAGAATAGTACACTTTCTTAATAAACTGTTAAAATAATAAAAGATTACAATGAGGATTTTTACACAACTAACATTGATCAAGTCTTAATAAAAGCTTGGAACGGGTGAATATTAAACAAGAGTTGTTTTAACATACAATAACTGTTATGTCTAAGGCCTGGAAGGATACCCCTGAAAATATAGCAGGGGCCTCCTATATGAGGTCTTCAACTCTGTTTTCGGTTTAGCACCGCTTAATTAATTGCTAAAACTAATGCTGTTAGTTTCACTTAAGTATCTGGCACATATGGTCTCAATAATTAATCCTCTTTTTACACTAATATATGAACCTTTGCACCTCTACGACCCAGAAAAGTATTTCTAATTGAATTATGTTTCTCATTGATTATATCAATGTCAAATTTAAGCATATTCATGAGTATATTTAAAAAAAAAAAAAAAAAAGACTTAATTTATGTGTAAGCACTTCAAGGTAGAATGTCACACCATGCGAAAGTCCTCTCTCAACAAAGTATGAAGCTTTATTCCTAAGTATGCCCAGTAAATAGACTCTTCATCTATTGAATATCCCAATCAAAATAAAAAATTTGAAAACAATATTAAACAATATTTTATTTTGGGCCATCTTTTTTGTTTTTTCTTTGAGAAGGGGGTTATGGGGGGGGGGGATTTATTCAAAGTTATATCATCAAAGAGAAAAATTCTATGGATCATTTTCAGACCAGTAATTAGATAATGCACATTTTTGCATCCTGGTTATATCTTGACTTTGCTAGACCAAAGCTATAACAGAGATGCATGAGACAAGTAGGCACTAAAAGCTATAAGGATTTAAGTTTACCTGAGATAGGCTGTGGGGGAAGCTGAAGGTGGTGGTTGCCATGTTTAGCTGCTAAACAAGCTTTGTTGCAGACAACAGAGCCTGTGATTAGAACGGTGGAGAGTTTTTCCTCGCCATACCCAGCCATTTGCACCATCTCATCTCTGCTTGACATCTCGAGTACCCACTTCATCTCAAGACTTTCATCATCATCTTCTTCTTCTTTGATTTCATTACTGGCAATGGGGCGGCATTGAGAGTTGACTATCATTGAAGCAAATATCAGAGCTGCAAGCAACATCACAAGAATGTTGTGATTGCAGTTGGCGCAAAACTTGGTCATCTTCTTTGTGGTTGCGTTAGTTTTCTGTTTGTTCGTGTGAGTTTCCTCGGTCGGAAATACGAGTAGTGTTTTTGTTAGACGCTAAGGAATCAACAATTTAGTTGGCTGCATCCTTTTCCTTTTATAAGGCAATTTGTGATAAAACAAATGCCCTTGGAGTTTATTAGTATTTACACAATTTTGACCATTAGTTAATTACGTATTAGAAAATTCTAGCAACAGAAAATGACAATATTATATTTTTCCCTTGTAATAAAATAATGTATGTTGTCATTTTCGAGTGTCACAATCTTGTAAAACTGAAGGTTGTAAGGAAACCAAGCAAAGATTGATGATCTTCTTCTATCACAATCAAGTAAATTAATGCCAAGGCACCAAGCTTCTACCTTGATATTTACCTTGATTTATTGTTTTCTTTTACTCGTATATTATTACAGTATGACTTTATGAATTGAAATGACATTTGCCTTACTTCAACATAAATGTTAAAGAACAATCAGTGTTTCATACAATTGTTAATTCATACCATTGTTGTTAAATGCTTCAGCTTTTTTTTAAAAATCGACAAAGTATCCATGTGATTTTATTTTCGTGCCGAGAAAATTGGTTAATTGACGAGGTGTACTTCATAAGTTTGTGGTTGAACTTAATTGATTCTAATTGTCGTTTTCAATCAATATGTCATATTATTCCGTACCTCTTTGTTTGATAAGTTAGATTATTTGTTTTACTAAAATTATATGGATCATTCATTTTGATTTTACTTTTTGTTTCTTAATCTTTAATAAGAAAAATAGAGCATGAAATAATCATGAGAAAAAAAAAATGAAAATTGAAAGAGGGGTAGAATAGTCTTTGTATCTAAAAACATAAGTGTCAAAGGTTGAAGAGGAAAGAGTAACGGAAGGTTTGGTAGCCAACTCCTTTTCCCTACGTAATAGAATTATTTATACAAGTATTTGGAGCAGTTTTATCTTAATGAGAACCACGTTTGTCTGTTTGTTTCTTAATCAAACCCAGAAAATAAGCTGTTGCCACGTAGACGTATCTTTATTAATTTATTTAATGAATTAAAAAAAAGTAGCCAAAGTGTGTTACAAAAATTCAAGCCTGTCCCAACGATCTTGCATCTAAATTGTATTGGTCATTAAATTCTCTCCTACCCAACTAAAATTACTGCTGAGTAGTGAGCTTAGCAGCCCTTCTAACACAAATAAAAAGTGGAGGCATTTATTCACACCTTAAGAATAATAATCATATCTAAAATTCAAACCTATTATTTTTATGTACTCTGCTTTATAATTGAAGTAGTTAAACCATATCATGATGTACTCCTAAAATATCATGATGTTCTCCTATATCAAGTATTCACAAGTAAAATATCAAACTTGGTGTAGTTAGTTGATGATTTATCGATCTTATCAACATGAGGTTAAATAGTCATATGACCCGGATTCTTTTTTTTTTTTTAAAAAAAAAAAACCAGCTCGGATCCTCTTTTCACTCTATTCTCAATTATGTATCCTTTTTCCTTACTTTTAAATACAAGAATAACAAAACCATAAAAATTAAGAAGTGATTAAAGTCGCCAAAATAAAAATAAAAATAATAATAAAAAAAAATCTCATTACGTATTCTCGAAGTACAATACAATAAAGCAGTTCACGTCAACTGGGTAGAAGAGGAAGAGAAGAACAAATTAAAGCAATTAGTAGTGGAAGGGTTGCCGTCTTCACGTATAACGTATCAGTCCTTTGACCTTTTCTGTTATATGGAATGGAATGGAATAGGTTAAGACTTAAGACTTGGTGTTCTGATCATACGCTCTTGACTTTTTGGACTACTCTTAACTACATTTTTGTCTTTTTATTTTTTTTTAATTCATTCATACCTAAACTACGACTCTACGAGTATATAACTTCTGAAAAGTATGCTACATATGCCTAAGTTTATTTTTTTTATTTTTATTTTTTTAAATTTTCTCACTTATTTAGTCGATCAACTTTTTCTTCACGGCTATTTAATAATTCTTATACATTTTTTAGAAATATTGTGATTTTTTTTGTTTGTTAAAAACGATTTAATTAAAATGACATCTTAACACCATCTGTCCTGTATTCAAATTATATGAATAACAAAGGTTAAGGTTTCCCATATTATAGTCATTTCTCCCAAAATTTAGATGCTATGCTACTATATCCACCGACGACGAGTATAGTATATACGCTTGTAGATGAGATAAATGGATATGGTTTCAATAAAAAAGGAAATTGGATGTAAGAAATTATGGTCTACTATATACCTTGTAGTTTAATTATAGAATAGGTCAACTAATCTAGCTTTAGATGAACTAAGATGATTTTTTAAACTTAAGCCGAAAGAAGTGATATACTCCGTAAGATAATATGGTTTTACTAGGTAAATCTATGACATTAAATATGATGTAGTAATAAATAATGATTATAATAAATTACCATGATAGATATTGAATAGAGAGGTTGATATTCATACGTATGAGAATATAATATAGTTGTAGGAGTTGTCAAAGAAATGGTCCGTAGGTCAAAGCAGCAAGCCTAAAAGAAATAATTAGTCATGTATTAATTTAGTCTCTGCAAATTAAGTATGTAGGGCTAATGATAGAAAATTGATTAGCAGCCACAATGATATGACCTTGGAAGCTAGAATAGTTTGTCGTTATAATAGTTGGTATTATGATTTTATGAATCAAGTTGTAGTAGAAGAATTGAAGAAATGAAACAGATACGTTGGCAAGCAGAAGCTACGTATGATTGTATTCAGGCTTTTGGAACATGTTTAATGAAGCCCAAGTCGCTTGAAGTCTGTTGGACTACAATTTAATGAATGAAATGGATTGAAGGCAGGCCCATGATCCTCTGGATAGCAAGAGTCGAAAAAGATGATGTTCATTTACCAATTACCATTAATGGATAGCAAGGTTTTACCAACAAACAACCCTTGAATTCATTTCTAGCTGCTTTCACATTCACATTCACCCCTACCATTACCATTTCTCCCCCAGCCGCCGCACTTTGTTTAAATCACAGATTTATTTTTTTAACCACAATCAATAATCTACTACTACTAGTATTACTGTAAATTTGATCTCATTAATATGGATCAACTGTTTACAAGTGACCGGCAATTATCCGGCGCCGGTTTCTCGGAAGAACTGACCCCTTTCCCTGACCCACAGCCACAGCCACAGCCACAGCCTGAGCCTCAATTCTTGTACCCTCATCCTGCGCCTCCTGTTCCCCAGAAACTCCGTCCCATCAGATCCAACGACTCCTCCTTCCTCATAACCAACGCCTCCGACTTCGCCTTCCTCCCCCATTTCACCACCGACACCTCACCTTCTGCTCATCACTTATTCAAGATCAAATCTGACATGGATGCCCACCTTCTTTCTAACTTCAACTCTCAAATTGCCAACCTCGACTTTTCCTCCTTCAGGTCCTTTTTTTTTTATTTTATATACGTAGTATCTCTTCTTTCCTTTTCTTTTTTAACTGCTGCTGTATATAATTTGGTGTAAAGACAGTTATGGAAAAGGATTTCGATCCGGGTACCACCATCAGCACTTAACAATTAACACTGATTACAGTAAATTAATCAGCATTTAATGTACATCAATATAAAATAAGTTTGGAATTGTCTGTATAAAAGATAGGCACAGGCACAGTATTAAGTGTGGCAGTAAATTAAGTTGTTTCCTTAATTTTTGATTTTGAATTTAAGTTGATTGTTTTGAATTCAGTTCTTGTTCAGATTGTAGTGATGATTCTGCGCAGAAGGGAGAGGAGGAGCGAAGCAAACCGAAAAGGAAGAGGAGGAAGAAGATGGAGTCATTTTTACAAGGATTGATGTCTCAAGTTATTAACAAGCAAGAAGAGATGCACCAGCAGTTGATGAACATGATTGAAAACAAGGAGAAAGACAGGATTCTTAGAGAGGAAGCGTGGCGCCAACAGGAGTTGGAGCGTGCTAATAGAGACCACCAGATTAGAGCTCAGGAGGCTGCTCGTAATGTCGCTCTTATTTCCTTCATTCGCAACGCTCTTGGGCTTTCCGAATTACAGGTTCCCGACCTCCTATCTTTGCCCCAGGTTTTTTCAGGGGAGGATAATGTTGCTGATACTCAGTCCTTGGGCCAATCCGAACAGGATAGGTTTGATCCTAATTATAAGAGGTGGCCGACGTCTGAGGTGCAAGCCCTCATCACTCTACGAGCTGCTCTCGATCACAAGTTTCATACTATTGGAGCTAAAGCTCCTGTGTGGGATGAAGTGGCAGCTGGAATGGCTAAAATGGGATACACCCCTCGGAGTGCAAGAAAATGCAAGGAGAAGTGGGAGAATGTTAACAAGTATTACAAGAAGGCAACTGCCAATGGAAACAAATATTCCGAGAATGCCAAATCGTGCCCATACTTCCATGAGCTTGAAACCCTCTACAAAAATCGACTTATTACTTCTGCAAAATCAAACTCTCCTACCAATGAACACTCGGAACAGAATGCAAATGTATAACAACTTACATTAGTACTGGACTTGAATTCTATTATATGGCTTGTCCAATTATCTGAGCTACGAAAACAAAGCAGTGGAACTTCCTGGTCTGAAAAGTTCCCAATTCTTGATTTTTTCAGCAACTATTAGCTGCAATTTTTATCATTAACAGAGATGGAACGAGGAGATTCTGTAAAGCAATCATTTTGGCCTTATGCTCATTGATCATCATTGGAAACACCCAGACTAACACAGTCCATCAGCACTGCCTAGCAGTCTCAGTCTTGTATCCTCCGGCTCGGGCGGGCAAGGTTATTTACTTCTTTGGCATGTTATTATTGATACTTTTCTCGGATGTAATTAGCAAGGCATGCCTAGGAGGATATTGGATAGATAAAATGCAATTCTTCCCAGCTTGTTGCTGGCTAGTCCTTTTGACCATTTTCTGTATGCATCTGGTTCATTTTCTGCCAACTAGATTGATGCATTCAGCAGCTAAGTAGTCCGGTAAGCATTGTAAAGCTATTTTAAGCATAAATCAAGTAACAATTAGCTCAGTGCTTTTCTTTTGTATGCAGACATTGTTTGCTGTGACATAATCTTCAATTGAAATCTGTCGTCATATTTCTTGCAAAAACCTCTTCTGATGCAAAAAAATCTCAGGTACCATTGTGATTATCATGATTAATAATTGGTAAAACAGGCATTGTTGAAATGTTTTAGTTATTCTCAAAATAAATAAATAACAGGCATTTTTATTAGATTAATGTAATGACATTGACCTACTTACAATATAACAAAAGCTTCTAAGGTTGATGTTAACATTGAAGATCTAAAGAGTTGATTGCGATATGTGTGTGAATTGCATTGCAGCATCTTAGCCTTCCTGGTACTCTGGTAAGGGGTGAGTCTTCTACCCATGCCTGATGTTCCCCTCACTAGTCACTACGCGAATCTTTTACTAGTGAGTATCAATCATATGGATGCAATGCAATAATGCATTGCTAGTAGCGATTAAACTTGGTTACCTCATATATCACCAAATAAAAGGAGTAGAACAGGGTTGAGATGGGGATTATTGACAGCAGAAGGGCTAGTATAATAGGGGGATCTGGCTGCATATAATAAGGAAAACTCAAGATGAATGATGCCATGAGCAATATAATCAAGACCTTGGCACAACTTCCGTTGTCTTTCATTGATAAAATTTACTAGACAGAGAAAATAGTGTTCAGCTGTTAATTATCATGTACCTGTAATCGAATTTTTCTGTTTTACAGCTGACTCACTGAGTCCTTTTGAAAGTAAATTTAACCTTTATCATAGTAAGAGGGAATTCACTGGAGGGTAGGTGCATGTATATAAACAAAAACCATTTGCTCAACAAATATGGAAAATGGAAAGTGAAAAGAATTAAAGAAGAGGGTGTGAGCTCTTACAAAGCAGGTTTACCATTTTAAGAGAGATAATTACTTCTATCTATCTGAAACTAACCTACCACAGTACCACACACACCGCGAATGATTATAAATTTGCTTCTAATGGTTTGTTGTCTAAACTCTAAATAGCTAAACTCATTGTCACCATCCTGCAACTTGTTCATCTAATTAATTGCGCGTCTTATCATTAATAATCATTTAATTGCCTCTTATCATTAATCATTTAATTGTTTATGCCATTTTGTTATTAATCTTTATACAGGAAAGGATCATGTATCCACAGTTAGTACGAGGTCATTTTTTGTGAAATCAACATTAAATGAAATCTTGTTACATTATGAGATGATTAAACAACTCTCTTTTCTCTATTTCATGATCTTAATAATGTACAAAAGAATAAACTTTCAGTGTTACAATTTATTTCATTTTCTGTATTTCATGGTCTATACGATATTTCATGTACTGCTTGTTCCATCAAAGTTAACTATTGAGTACTTCCGTCATTTGAATTGGAAGCCTGATTATTATTGAAGTAGATGATATCCCTTCCTTCTTTAAAGCTTGGTTTGATAGGTACAGCTGGAAACCCTGAATATCGACCATCCATTTTGGCCTTGCAAATTTTAACCATGTTTCTAAGGAGCTCGTATCTCTGAACAAAAGACTGTGCTGTGTATTCTTGAAAGGGCATCCACTGCATATTGAAATCAATAATTAAAAGGAAGTGACGAAAGATTTAGCAAAGGGTTAGTCAATAGAATTTGCTTCATAGCTTAAATTTTGGTCTGATTTGTATCCTTAATAATTTTAGGATTGCAAACAAAACGTGCATGATCTTATAAATATAGAGTGTACGGATGAGCAACGACTGAAGAACTAAAATTACCTGAGCTGCTTCAATTTCTGATTCCTGAACCTTGATGTTATATGACAGAGGTTTCAGAAAACAGACGAAGAATAGATCTGACTTCTGGAAAAATGCCTTGTGGTGTTCTCTGCAAATGTAGAAAATCAGCATTCAGCAATAAACAGCAACAGGAGCCAATATTTGAAAGAGGATTATAATGCGAAAAGTACTGTACCTGAATGTCAGCACTTGCTCAAATTTTGTTTCAATCTGCAAAAAAGAAATCAAATATATATATATGAGCTTACAATGGCAAGAAAGGGCATTTCAAAGAGGATATGGACCTGTGCACTTTACTTACTCCTGTCTCTTCCTTGACTTCTCGCACAGCCGCAGCACAAATGTCCTCCCCCTGTGAGTTTGAAGTGTCATTGATATACTAACAAGGAAATTTCATACATGAACACAACAATAAGGACTAATAATCAAACAAATATGTGTAAGGACGGAGTAAACCTGATTGGCTGTTCCGGTGGGAAACTTCCACACACCCTTTCCTTTCAACATTCCGTTCTTCTCTTGAACCACTAGTACCTAAGTAAAGAGTGATTTGGGAAGTACCTAAAAACATTGAAATCCAAGAGTGAAATTAAAAGTATGCATGTAATACCTCTTTCTTGTCATTGATGACAAAAGCACCGACAGTAACTCGATGGGAAGCATTTGCTGGAAGAGCACAGGGTTCATCTTGAGGGAGCCACTTTGCTAACATTACATATTTTGGTTCTGCATGGTGATACCAAAACCCTTCCTGCAAAAATGCATGAATTGAAGTTGTACACATTGGAAAAAGTAGCAAAAGTTGAAGCAACATTGTATATACTGTACCTTGACAGCAGCTTCAATAAGATTGTAATGTCGAATAGGAAGTTTAATCCATATACCTCTTTTCCCCTGCATGCATCAATCATAATCAGTGTAAAACAGACTTTCATAATCAAACAGAAAAAATCAATTTTAAGAAAAAGATAAACACCAGTCGAGTCCAGTGAGAAAGAGAAGCTCTGAGGGAAGAGGCAAAGAGATGAGAGTCCATGGGATCCTGCATATCAACAAAAAGACCTCCATGCTCATCTTCTGTGGCTGAAAGTAATCGTAGTTGTCGAGTCTGAACCTGATACAATCTCCTGAAGCTCCAAAGCTGCCTGCTTGTGGTAATAATACCACTATCATTTATATGATTAATAAGACCTACACTTTGGTGATGATACTTGAAGGTGCTACTTATTATTCTTGGAAGACATGAGAATTTCCGGGTGGTGCAAAGAGATCTAAGGGACATCATCATCATCATCATCCGCGAGGTTAATGTACTTAATCTTAATTATGGATTATAAACTTGAAAGGCTAATTGACCAAGATTAGCTGTGACCTGAGTAATATATATATAACAAGAATGTATCTGATCTCAAGTAAGTCTTATCTTATGGAAACTTACGTAAACATAACCCACATATATATTAAAATATATTGCAAGTTTGAAATTGATTTTGAATGGACGATTTCAATGCATGTGTTTACTAATACTTGAATGAATGTTTTCCTACGTACATTTGAATAATGCTGTAATAATAGTAAACGTACTGCTTACTACTCCTTAAACCTCATAATTAAAGAGATGATTATTTGTTTGAACGAAACAATTCCTACAAATTAGTACTATTAATCCCGCTGCGTACAGACCGGGAGAGTGGAAACATCAAACTCGCGTTGGTAAATACTCTGAGAAATTATCTGGAACAACTTGATCAGACACTGATTTTGAACAACAAATAACAACTGAATTGGTCAAAGACTCAAACTAAATATGATTTGTGCCAAGTTAAAGGTTCTTAATTATGTATTGAATTCACTAATGACTAATGCGTGTCAAAGGCTTTATTCCTTTTGAGTTTTGACACCAAATTTGTACGGACTACGGAGTATCACCTTGGGATGGACTGTCTTACGGGTTGTCGTATTTATCATCATAGTTACCCCGTTTGATGAATTTTATTTTTATTTTTATTTTTTTAAATTTGATGGTTTTAACATTTCAACAATTTTGCATGATTGCGTTCTTTCTATAAGACCATTGCATAATTGTTCTCCAATAATAGATCAATTTTAATATTTAACTATTTTTGTTAATTGTAGTCTTGTACTCACTCCATTTTTACAATGATTTCCCACTTTGATTATACACAGGACGACATTTGTCAATCCATTATTTTGACAATTAAATATCTTTAATTGCAAATCAGTAAAAAAAAAAAAAACCAAATAAAACTACTAACATTCTATATTAATAAACTACTATGGAGTAATTGAGACAAATCAAATAAAACCAAACATTATGGCATTTAAAAAATTAACCTTATGAATAATGTTAAGATTGCTAATATGAAGATCATCATTATGAAATGAAATGAGTACTACATATTACGTAATACTCGAGACATCCAATGCCTGATATAATTTGTTCATCTTAATACTATTATGAGGTATATAATTTATATATTACTCAGAACAATCTTTTGGTTAAGCTTCAAACGGCAACAAAAACCATTAAGAGCCTCTCATCACAAGGGAAACTCGTAATACATGTGATTAGAGCACAATAGGAAAATGATAGCAAAATCAATGTACTATATTAAGGATGATCGAATAAAACTATATTACTTGGGAATTTATACATATACTACCTCCGTTACAGGTTATGTGCAACGATTAGACATTTTTCCTCTCTGCTTTATGTCAATTCGTTGCACATAACCTGCAACCTGTAACGGAGGTAGTATTTGATAAAAACAAGTAATCAATTAACCATGATAAAATCCATACCAAAACATAATTTAATATTATTTGAAGTTACGTGCAACGGTACAAGAAACAAAGAGCAAAACATAAAAAGAAGTAGGGCATTTAAAAAAAGAAATGGGCAGGAATGATTAATCAGAGGTATTATACTGAAGGAGTAGGAAGACAATGATAAGGACGACAGGGATGAGAAGAAGCATGGAGAACGAAGGCGCGGCGACTGAACCCATAAACAATGGAAGAACAAGCAGAAGGAATGCCACCCCTATAATAGCAATCACTGAACCAAAACCGATGCCAAATTCTCCGTCATCCATTTGATCCGTAATGATAATACTTATCACGTTATTCAATTCACGTACTATATTCAATTCGTTCTATATGATCGATTAGTGTAGTAATGTATGATTGTGTTAATAATATTAATATTATAATCAAATCTAAATGAGTTTATATAAGCCATAGATAGATGCATGCATTGATATTTGGCACCCCTTGGCGAAGGGACACATCGTTTGGATTCTATGAATTGTTTTTGTGTAATCCGTGTTGCATCAATTTTAAATATCCTCCAAAATATTAACTGTCTACTTGGCTTTTCGTTTCGAAGGTTAAGAGACTTGCCATATTTCACTTTCATTGGGCCTGCTTTAACCTTTAATTTCCCACCTTTTAGGCCCTATTCTTTTTTTTCTTTAAAAAAAATGGTGTGTAATTTTTTTAAAAATAAGCCTATCTTACAAAGTAAAATTCATGTATTGTGTCAGCATGCCTTATGCTTAAAAGTTAAAATTAAGAGGGTCATATCTAGAGTGATATGGCTTGTGATATAGTCATGCCATATCAAACTTTTGCTTATCTTTTATAAATAGAATTTGTGCATGTCTAGACGTATGTGTTGTGTGCTTGATAGTGTCATGTCAGAAAAACTCTTAATAAATTTTTAAGTTGTTAAATTGGTCAAAAGTTCAAAAAACAAATATTTCTTAAAGAACCGCTAACGGTGTCTGTGATTTGTTTGCTAAACCAAAATATAAAAAAATTAGCAAACCTTACACCAACCTACATGGACAAATATAGTGGGAACAAGCTTTTATACCGAAGTAAATAGGAAATTCATTTACATTAAAGCAATTTTTAAGGAAATCTTTCTAAGATATAGTCCACATGATGCTACGTACATTAGCAACAGTAGCCATTCTTGCATCAATCGAGTAAAAAATTATGGAGTAAAAAATAAAAAAGCTGTACTTGAATTAATAACTTTATTTAATTTATTTATTTAGGAGTATTAATTTTTACAAGAGGTTGGGTAGCATTCAAAAAAAAGAAAGTGGAATAGGGTATGTTTTCCCAAAAAAAAAAAAAAAAAAAAAAAAAGAAAAAGAAAAAAAAAGTGGAATAGAGTATCGGTAAATGGGGAAGAATAGAGGGATGTACTGTGTTTAATAAGACAGTGTGAATGGGTGAATAAATAGCCCTAGTCAAAATTAGAATTAGAATTAGAGTTGACAAGTAATACGGAGTGCAAGGAATAAAGAAGCATATTTGTGTTTGCTATTTTCTCATTTTCTGTCTTTTACTGTTTACTCTATTTATTTCTTTGTGGTGGTCTCCAGTACAATATGTTTAATTTGAACATTAATATCTGTATATGTAATTGTGTACTACTCCACACTAAACAAGTACACAAGTACTCATTATTAATGGTAGCAAGCTAAGATCTTATTTTAGTTATTGACTTGTATATAACTCCGTATGATTATACAGTACAAAGTATATTTAAGTTAATTCATATAAATCTTAATTCAAAAGAAAAAATTAGTACAAATAATAAGTATTATGAGCCCGGACAATGCCCTGGTCGAGTCATTACATGGGTTGCATTAAAATACGTTTTAATATATGACTGGAGTCTTTGTAATTAAATTTGTTATTTACATGGTCATACACCACATATTAATATTTGCATACAGAAGTTGACACAAAGTATGATGTAATTTGATGATAAGACACTTAATTTATAATTAAAGGTTGTATGTTCCAATCACATATAACCTTTTATTATAAAAATACTCCTGTTACATATTACTCGCAATAAAAAAATATTTTATGTCTTACAAATAATACCCTTTGTTGCGAGTAATTCGTAAAGGAGGAAGTAATAAAGATATAGATGGGGCAGTAGTAACAGCTAATTACAGGCTTCAAGCCCTTCAGCCACGTGGAGTGCATCATGCAATAAGAGAGAATAGCTTATTTTTCGGCAATGAATTGAAAGTATTAGGATGCATGCCAACTGAAAATATGCCAAATAATCCTTCCCAAAAAGATAGAAGGCCCCACTACATACCAAGCTAAGCTTGGCACACTGCATTACTCCACATTTCATCCATCCTACCCCGTTTAGAGATACTATCTTTGTTTTTTTAAGTTGGCCTATATAATTTTTCTGTTTTTTTTTTTTTTTTTTTTTTTTGAAAAAGGCATATACAATTCTTGTAACACATTTACAATTGATAATTTAAGCTTCTATCGTAGTAGTCGACTATCTTTGACTATGGTCACATGAGTAAATTTTGTCATAACTATTATTAATAAAAACTAATCAAATAAAATTTACGGTCTTAAAAATCAAAACATGTCAATTAATTAGAAAAAGACGTGGAGAGTGTACAATATACTCCAATATACAATCTATTCCGTACTCGGTAAGTCCGTAGTATCTAGCAGAGTAATGAGTATATATCTAGCAGTAGCAGAATGGAAGTAGTCTGAGGAGTCGGCATCTGCCCTCTCTATATATAAAGTCCTGTCCTAACATAGTACGGAATCGGATAGGTCTACGAATATACTCTTGTACTTACTTCTTCGTATCCTTTTTTAATTTTAAGGAACACTAAGACTGCTTCAATTCCTTCCAATAATTATTTATTTGGCATATAAATATGGATCATCGTGGAGGCTTCCATGGTTACCGCAAACAACAACAGCTTCACCATCTCCCTAAAACCACCTCTTCTGGTAACCTTTTCTTTCCTTTACTTCTTCATTCTTTTATTAATTTATCTTCTTTTTTTGTTTCATCAAATTATATATTAATTGTTGTATAATTAACGTTTCAGACAATCAACTTAACTTTGCATGCACAATCTAATTTTTACTACTGCTCCGCTAAAATTTTAATTTCTTTTATATATTACAGTATTATTCATTATTGCATTTATAAATTGATAATTACCAACCATTTTATATATTTGCATTGCATGTATCACCCATTTTGCCTACTCCTTTTGTTAATTAGGTCAACAATCTCGAACTCAAGGTTTTTTATAAAAAATCAATAATAAAAATAAAACAAAAATAAAGGTAAATGACCAAAGTTCATCAACACCTTCAAGTCGACTTAATTGATAGTTATGTTCATACACAACGTGTTAATGTACTACGTAGTATTTGTTTACGTTTATACATACTAGTTGAAATTTGAAATTATATATATCTCAACAATTTAGAATTATTTATGTTAGTATTATTCCTTTTATTGTTTTCGTAAAATAAAAAGCTTTTGCAAAAGTAAAGACTTTTAAGTTTCAAAAATATTACTCCGTAAATAACAATTTAAAACAATTTTTGAAATGACCCATTAGTGTCTTGCTTCTAGATTCACTTCAAGTTTCGTTTGAACACAGTACACTAGTATTACAAACAAGACATCAAGACCTATTTTCGGCTGATTAGTATATACTCAATTACTCATGTCAAACAACCCTAATAATGTTTTGAAATTTTTTAAGTTTATTGAACTCATTCGGTTTAAAACATATAATTTTATGAGTATTTAATATGTATATGATTTGTTCTTAAATATGTCTAACAAGAGATTATTATGTATGGATTGTCTGGTTTGTGCGTGATTTAATTTTGTCCACAATAACCCTTTTTTTTTCTTTCTTTCTAAACTTATCTAAACCTATTTTATCTAAATTTATTTGAATTCATTTGATTAAATTATAAACTAAACCAAACAAGAAAAACGGTGTTTTAAAATCATATGGGAATGAAGGGAGTAAGAAATCTGATCCGTAAACCCTGAATACAAAGAAGTAAGTTTAATTAGGTAGACAAGTTAAGCAAATAATAGTTCCGTAAAAGTGGAGGTTGTCGCGGCAGCACGACAAGTGACAAGAAAAGAGGCAAATAAAGGCAAGGAGACATATATAATATATTGGAGATGAATCATGTGTTGGTCATACATACAATAGGGCGGGCCAATAAAATTGCATGCAACATGTTCATGTATGTACAATACTAATCAAGTACATGTTATAAGTATAGAGCCAATGGAGATGATGAAATGTTGTTCAACAATCATCATTTCATTTATCCCAAGTGTCTTTCATGCACTGTTTTCTTTCTCTTACCATTTATACTCACACGTGTCCGTCATGCAAATTGCAAATTTAACCTCCCCGATCGCTCTAAATTAAAGTAACAAACTACGAGTAGTTGTTTTATATGGATGAAAAGTGAATACCCCCAAAATAGCAAGGAGCTTTGGCATGTCCTTAAAATATACAGTAATAATAGATGTGTCATGAACTAATGACATTGTGTTTTCTTTGTTACCTCATTAAATGACACAATGCAAGTGAGAATTGAAAGGATTCTTGGATTTGTGTTGATTTGTCTGTTTTCCCCTTGCATGCATGGACATGGTTGATAATCATCTTCCCACTGCGTTAGGCATGTGTCTTTAAATAAAGACCCCTTCATCATCTCTATAACTTGTTTGATTTCTCCAATTGCGACTACTTTTAAAAGACATTAAGTTAGACTTTAGAGTGATTGGCCTGGTTGTGTATAGTATTTGGTCATCTGGTAGGTCTTGTTGATTCACTCGAGATACTTGTATAAAAACTATAAACAAAAACTAGATTCAATTCCAACTAATCTATAAAAGTGGATGCCTCATTCCCAAAACTACCATTTGATATGATGATACTCAGCCCTACATTCCCATAGGCCGTGTACATTTTCTTTTCTTTTCTTTTCTTTTTTTGATGATGGATCGATGTGTATAGAAATAATCAAACACTCAACGGAGGCAGTACCAGGGGAGATGAATCACATACGCGCAACTATCAACGGAAAACTGTTGTCCCATGACATGACCAATCACCTTAATAACTTGAATGGAAATAGTAGTAACCACTCTTTATCATCAACTGATCAAGATAACAATGAGTGCACAGTGCGAGAACAGGATCGCTTTATGCCCATTGCTAATGTCATTCGCATCATGCGCAAGATTCTTCCACCGCATGCCAAAATTTCTGATGATGCCAAGGAAACCATTCAGGTCCTCATTTTTTAACATCCCATCTTTCAATATCAATAACAATATACTGTATAAGTTTTCTCATATCAAATACATGGAATTATACTGCAGGAGTGTGTGTCCGAGTACATTAGCTTCATAACAGGAGAAGCAAACGAGAGGTGCCAAAGGGAGCAGCGTAAGACAATCACAGCAGAAGATGTACTGTGGGCCATGAGCAAGCTTGGTTTCGACGACTACATCGAGCCACTCACCCTTTACCTGCATCGTTACAGGGAGCTGGAGGGGGAACGTGGCTCTATCCGCACTTGTGAGCCCCTCCTCAAGCTCAGTAGAGCAGCCATGGATCAGTACGCCGCTTTTGGGCCTGTTTTTCACATTGGTCCTCCACCTTCACACCATCATCATGCCTATTTTGGGGACTCTTCCTCTGTCAATGCTTACTTAAAAGATGCTTCCGTTGCTGCTACTGCTTCTGACGCGGTTGGTGCTCCCGCTGTTGCTGCTGCTGGTGGTCCTGCTAATTCTGTTACCAGTTTTGAGCCTTATAGTCACCACCACAAATAATATGTTGTACTCACTTAGCTTGCAATGCTAACAGTTAACTATGTGACTTTCTTAATTAGGCATGTTTTGTCTCCCCTTAACTTACTATTTTATCTCCCTCTCATTTGCTAAAACTAACTTCGTACTTGTTAGATGTCGAGTGACTACTTTTACAACGATAGTTTTGCTTTTTTCTAATATGTACACACAAATATGAAGACCTAACATAAAGCTAAGGGAAAATTAAACATACCTCATATCAACAGGTTTTATAATTTCAAATTTTAAGTTTAACATTTGCCAACCTAAATATTTGATCATTGATAATGCAGTATTCTTGATAACTTTGTACACAGTATACAATAACAGCAATTATAAAATTTAAAATTTTTTAAGGAAAAGTAGAATTAGCCAAAAATCTTCTTAGTCATTTTCTCAATTTGTTTCAAGTTACATAGTTTACTAATGAATTTACAGTTTTTTCACCATATACCCCCGAATTTTTTATTTATTCACCATATACCCCTTGATTTTTTCAAATACATCATACACCCATGAGTTATCACTAAAATGCACCATATATCCTTAATAACAACCAGATAAGTGAAATTCGGTCTGGTTAATTATACCATGAAACCACTCCAGATCCCTTCCTCTACTATCAAAATCATCCCCAGTCTTCCCCAACCCCTAAAACTAGCCCAAATATCCAGATTCATATTCGTATGATTGGTTTTGGGGGTTGGGAGAGAATCTAGGGTGGTTTTATGGGTGGGACTAGGGAATGGAAATTAAAGATAGTTTGGTTTCAAGGGTGGGGGAAGGAGTCTGGGATAGTTTCATGGCATAATTAACTCTAAAGACTGAGAGATCTAACATTTGTTGCTCATTAAGGATATATAACGAAAACACCAATAAATTTACATGTTATGAATTGCATATAGTTAGTTTTTGTTCATATATTACATGTTGAAAAGTCCAATACAAAAGCATGAAAGCAGTTCCAACAAATTTCATATACATTCAGTAGATTAGAACTTATTATAATCTCCCATCCGTCACTCCCTCCTCCAGGCATTTTGATAACCACATCCCTTTAAACACGAAACAAATCTCACTTTTTCCTTCATAGCCCATTAGCCCCCCAACTCCGCCCACCCAAATCCCCCCCCCCCCCACAAACACACACACACACCAAAAAAAAAAAAAAAAAAAAACCTGAGCATGCATACTACCCTATCAAGCACAAACCTTGAATGACATTAAATTCTTACATTAGGAATCTCAATCAATTGTCTAAATACGAAGTACACAACATTCTCTACAAGAGCAAGCGAAACAATATATGCACTGGAACGTAATAGCTTAATAAGATATCAATTATAAGATATGGTCAAGAACAAATGTCTGAATAGTTGAGACAAAAGAACTATAATTACGGCACGCACATGAAAACACATGAAACAAAATACCAAAAAACATCTAACTGCACGCTGAGCAGCAGCAATGGCACTGAGGGAGTTCTATCAATGGTAGAACAGCCCCACCCCATTTGCCATGGGACGTAGTCCACTCATCAACACACAAATCTCCCCTATCGCATAACATCATTTATACCCCAACTAACATGCCATCACATTCACAGGAATGCATCTTTCTCCAGCAATTTGAGAACCTCATGTTGATTGTTCAATTTGGCAACATCTATGGGGGTCTTCCCATCAAGATTCTGGAGAGTACTGCACAAAAGTAATAGTAGTCTTAAAAGCTGCACAAACAGATAGCCTCAAGATAGAATAATCAGACAGAAGACAAGTTTGGGCTTACACAGCAGCACCATTCTCCAGGAGAAGTGCTACACACTCTTTTCTCCCGTAACCAGCTGCATAGTGAAGGGCAGTATTTTTGTTCTTATCCAACGCGTCCACTTTAGCTCCTGCCTCGAGAAGAACTTGTGCACACTTAACCTGAAACAGAAGAAACCTGTCAGACCAATGCCAAGGCAAGCCAGACGCCTTTAAATTGCACATCAGAAAGACCCCAGCAAAGTGTTCTAAGTTTTCCAACTCAGTACAGAGATAGAAGCAGCAAACTAGTAACAGTCACTTCACCTTATTAATATTTAGAACCACAAATTGATTTAAGACAAATTTGCTTGCAGAATTACCATACCTCACCATATCCACAAGCAAAATGCAATGATGTCCTGCCTTCAGAATCCTCTTCATCTTTGTCAGCACCAGCAGCTAAAGCTTTTTTCAACCCCTGAAAACATATGGTATAAAATTCCAGCGTTCAATCTTCTAAGAGGCATTTGAGGAATTAGACAGATACAGAAAAAATACTCTTAGTTACTGCACTGCATCTCTATGCTAACAACTACATGCCATGGCTCATCATATAAAGCTACGGGTTTATCTATTCTTCATAAGCTTAGAGCCTTGGATGTAATCAAAGCATATTCATGCTTTATATATTTCAATCACACCCCCAATCTTAATAGAATTATAAATTTAACAGGTTAATTTCCTCCGATAAAGAACCTACAATAAGACTCTCATCTTTTATGCAAGAGGTGGTGGCAATGTTACTTGGACTCTTCTCTGTACCTTAAGTACCTACGTCAACACTGTATTTGGACCTTAAAAAAACAAAATCCAAGTCAACACTGTATTTGGAGTTCTGGACCTTAAAATATTAAAATCCATGTCAACACTTCGACATATATACCCATGTCCAATACATATGTAATAACATAGAATGGTGGTTATTTTTACCTCCACATCGCCAATACTAGCAGTTTGATGAACAACAGACTCATCTTCTTCATTACCACCTTCCTCTGACTCGTCAGGCACAGCACGCTCAGAGGATGTAGCTGCTTCTCCTGTGACTGCTAGACCCATAGCTTCGCCCAACTTTTGAAGAACGTCTTTATCATTCCAATACCTGTAATGACCAAAGTATATTAATAAGATAAATGAACCAAAGATGGTCAGCGTGAAGATAGCAAATGTAGGTGGTTGAAGAGCCATAATGATGAAACAAAATTTTAAACCCAACCTCATCATGGCAGCAGGTCCACCAGTCTCTATCTCTTCCAATATGGGTTTCAGAGAAGGATCTTCTTTAATACGTGCCATTCGTTCTTCTAGCTGGTCTTTTTGGGCTGGATTGGACAAATTCTCAAGCATGCCAGACATTGATGGATCCTAATCGATCATCACAACCAGGATGATTTCAGGATTTTGAATACGTTGAAAATAACTTCCAATAGACAAAGAAAACAAACCTGCATCAAAGCGCTACCAAGACGTTCAGCCATGGCCATAAACTGAGGATTCTCCATCACCTGCTGCATAGTGGAATAATACTGCTGGGGGTCAAATTGTGGTTCCTCAACTGCAGGACCACCCTGAAAGGTTTGCTGCAATTGCTCAGCCATCTGATTGAAAGCAGGATCTTTCGCTATCTGCTCAGCCAGCTCCTTGATGCTTGGATCCTGCATTCAAGAGATAGTGTACTAAGATCAGTAACTTGATTTTAAAACTACCTCTTTTATAATCAGGGGAGGGTAATGGCCCATACATCAATACCAAAAGCTACAATTGTTGAGGTCAAAAAGATATCTTGATTTAGAAAACAGACGTGCATCACATTCAATGAGTTACAGTTATTCATTGAACATGACAAAGGATTGTGAAAAAGATAGGATGATATACATTGAGCAAGCCTGACATAGCTGAAAAATCAAAAGGATTTGGGGGCATTCCAGGTCCTGGAGCAGGAGAAGATGTTGTCTGTCCTGATTGAGACTGCTCAGAAGATGCTTCTGGGTTGGACTTCTGGGGTTCTTGAGCACCTGTGTGCCAGAAAAGAATCACATATAAGCATAATGCCATAATATAAGTGCTATATAGATAAAAGGGCATCATAGTAACAATATTGTATATCAAGCATGTGAAGCAGTCATAAGGTTTCAAAATTCCGTACACATCCATTCCCACTTGTTTATGTTCATAATCTTGCTCTTTTTCGTATCATTCAGAGACAATATAACAAAAATAATTCCTAATCTCCATAATTGATTACAAGTATCCAGACGGGTACATGGTAAAGTGGATCTGGTTAAGAAATATAAACTTTATTCTAGCCAGCTGCCCATCATAACTAACGCTATGTTTGGATAGAGAGAAATGGAGGGATGCATCCTCCCTTGTTTGGATATCTAATGTAAGGAGGGAAGGGGGGGGATTAGAGGGATCCATTTTCCTTCCACTTTTAATAAACCGAATCCCTCCGTTGTTGGAGAGATTTGAAAGGAAAATGGAAGGTCTCCTTCTCCCTCCCCTCACCTCCCTTTCCCTTCCCTCTTTTTCCTTCTCCTCCCTTTCCCTTCACTATTGTTATCCAAACATAGTGTAAGTGAATATTTTCTTTCCTTGACGACTCTCTATGTCTACATCATAATTGATAAATATTCCCCTGAAGCAATGGCTGTACAAAAGATGACATCTTTTGAATCTCATGAAGTCACACAGTGCCTCCTTTGGTTTGCTTGTCTTATCATGTATAATATAACTTCCTAAAACTATTTCTACAATTCAGCGATTAATCTCATGTATACAAAAATTACAATCAGTGAAGTACAAAAAGCATTTACAGTGTATTTGGATAAAAAAAAAAGGGGAAGGAACAGAAGAGGAGGGAAGAATAATGAGTTTTCCTTCCAAATCTCTCCATTGTTGGAATACTCAATTTCTTATAATTTAATCCCTCCCTTTCTTTCCCATCCAATTCCATTCCTTCCTCATTTGCTATCCAAATGAAAGATACTCCATTTATAGTTTAGAAATTAAAGAAATAGCCTTTGGCATGCAAATAAGTTAGACCTTGAACAAGGAAAAAAATTATGTTGAAAACTTCTTTGACTTAAGTTAAACTTGACACAAGACACATTGAGTAAGCACATATCCCAAGCCCACAAAAGATGTGAAAACTAGGGTGATAATGGGATGTTAGGTAATGAATACATGCAGACTCCAAACAAACAATCCAACAGTTGCAGAGTGCAAATGAAGTGAACAATCGAACATCGAATCCAAAACAAACAAAAAAGAAAGGATAATATAAGAATCCAACAACTGCGCTCACCTGCGGGCACATCATTCCCTGAGTTGGAAGCCATAGATCAACACCTAAAAGCAAAGCAAGCAGAACATTAAAACAGCAACACAGTGAAAAACAGGTCTATCACTGAGACAAGACGTGCCCTGGTATATAAAAAAATAAAAAAAAAAAATAAAAATAAAAAAACAATGAAATTTGACAATCAACAGCCTGCAACACATTGGCAATCAAATTTGACTCAACTGTCAAATTAAGTTCCAAAAATCACACAAAAATCTAGTCGATGAAGACAAGCAACGCAAAATTCTAGCAACAAATCGATCGTTGTAATTCAAAACAAAACTTGAGAAATTATAACCAAAAGTTGAATAACCCACCTTAGAAGAACCCTAAATCGGCTATACTGAAAATCAAGTCTAGATTGTAAAACTGAAATTCGATTAATTAGAAAATAAAAAGAAAACATCTTACCTCAAAAACTGCTTCGATGAAGGAGAGAGAACAGAGAAGGCGGTTCAATGGAGAATTGAGAGTAAGCGCTTTAATGGAGGAGAGGAAAGAGGGATATAAGTGATAGGCTCCAAAGGAGATCTAAACTGATAACGTATGAGCAAGTTTAAGCATTTACGGAGTATTGTCAACCGTCAGATCTCTGTATTATCAACGCTCTTAATTCATTTCATATAAGCCTTGTTTGGCAAGTGTCTGTTGGCGGTTGGTTGTTGGCGGGTTCACTTGGCTTGTTTGACCAGCTGATATGTTTGGTTGTTTATAATGGCTTATGAAATTGGCCGTTAAAGCTGACTGTTTATAAAAGTGTTTGGTAAATTAATTGTTGGTAGTTGGCTATTTATTAGATAATTTGTGTGCCAACAAGCCAAAAGTCAACAAAAAAGCTACTCAAAACAACTTTTTCATTTGGCTTAAAAGCCAGCTTTTTCACTTGCTAAAAAGCCAATTACCAAACATATTTTTTGGTTGTTTGACCTCATAAGCCAAAAGCTAACCAAAAAGCCACTAAAAAGTCATTTACCAAACATGGCCATAACTTTTGTAATTCCTTACTTTCTTTTTTTTTTTCTGTGAAGCCACTTTCTTACAATTTTTAATCCATGTGATTTATGAGAATTGAGAATACACATATTAAACAAAATTAAGACTGTGATTAATATTTTTTTTTAGGAAACCATATAGAATTTTATTTATGTTAAGTAATGTCCATTTCAGCCAAAGTAGGTGATACTTTGGAGCAATGGTATGGTTTCAAAAAAAAAAAGGTGATACTTTGGGGAAACGACTCCACAAGTATATATTCCATATGATCATTTATGTCCCACCTAGCAATTACATGTGACACGGTATTACACAAACGCTAAACATGAGAGAACTTACAAAAATCAAACCAAGCTCTATCGATACAATATCAGCAAAAATCATAAAAATTAGAGAGAGTCCTATACCCTTCGAATTCACCTACTTGATGATATTCACAGCATCCGATTCCACCCATACATTCTTGTACCCCATGGGAATTGCAAGACTTAAAGCATACCTCATTGCCATTGCTTTAACAATTTCCGGGCTTGAACAATGCACCTTCTTAATTATTAGCTACCAGAAGAATTTGACCTTCATGATTGTGCACTACCACTCCCAGGCCAACCTTGTCATTTGCGGGAATATGTGCATAAGTGTTTATTTTGAGACAACCATCGTTGGGGGCTGCCCGAACGAAATTCTACTGACCATACCATTGTCTATGTGCTGTGAAAAGACCTTGTGAGCATAGTCGTTATAATCTTATGCAAGCTTACAAAACCAAACAGCTAACATCACAAAAATTGGTCTCTCGTTGTCAAAAACTAGCAAGTTCCTACACCTCCAAGCTGCCCACATAATGGCTGCCATTGAAAACACGATTTCAGCATTAAACTTGCGTATCATACATTCCCACCCATAGCACCACAAACGAGTCCGAGGGAGCATCAACAAGCTGATTTATTTTCAGCTTACTATGCTCTCAAATGGCATGTGCCGCCTCACACTCAAGTAACGAGTGTATGATGGTCTCCTCCTCCACCCCACATATTTAACAACGACTCTCACTCACAATGTGTCTCTAAGAAAGCCTTGCTTTCACAACCAAATTATCCTTTACAACTTCAACGGTCCCTTCATTCGTCACACTAATTTCCAAACACTCTCATCCACCCCACCATTTGAAACATTATTATGCCCCAATTTTGCCGACCAATAACCGGATCTCACCGTGTATATACCTTCTTTTGTCCATCCCTAATAAAGTAAATCCGGCAGCTTCTTAGTGGAAGAGGTATAACAAGAATTTGAGCACAAAGATTCTCCCCTACCACATTTCGAACCTTCGTAACATCCCATCCCCACACGCCATACTAAACCATTCTCACACAGCAAGTTATGAACCATTGTATTCACATCACCTCCATTCGACATAGGAATTAAGGTCAGTTTCCCATCTACAAGTAGCCATGATTCCGACCAAATATTAACACTTCCCACATTCCCTACACTACATACTAAACTACCACGCAACAACCCTTTCGCCCCCACATGCTTCTCCGAGTATAACATGGGTCAAAACCACACATCGCCTTAAGAATGTCTACTAGTTTAGGGCTTATGCAAATGCACATATTCATAATGATAATGGTTAGATTGATTAACAATGACTTAGGGTCTATTCTGATTTACTCAACTGAGCTTAACTGAACTGATTGGAGCTGAACTGAACTGCATATTTTATGAGAGAAGAAAATTAGGAACTGAACTTATTGGAGCTGAACCTGAATTGAACCGAACTAATTATTTTATGAGATAAGGAAACTAGGAACTGAATAGAACTGAACAAATTGGAGCTAGCTGAACTGAAGTGAACTGAATATTTTATGAGAGAAGGAAATTAGGGACTAAACTAGTAGGGGTATAAATAAAAGTACGTACACTTTTCTTAAGAGTTCCAAATTTAAGATTAATGAGGTCAAATAAGTTAATAAACATGTTAGAGGGTATAGTTGTCCAAATATTATTCATAAGAGTTACTTTATAAATCACACAAGGAAAAACTTAGAGTCAATTAACATCATATCAATAGTGATATAGGGTAAACAAACATTTTAAGAATATTGTTCATTTATACACTATTTGTAAGTGTTTTAATTTCTCATACTTTTGAAAGATAGAAATGATCTGATTTAATTTGATATATCTAAAATGAGCAATAAGGTACCTAATAAGTTGGACGAAACTTTTATTTTTTTATTTTTTGGAGGAATGAATGAAACTTTGCTTTATTTAAACTTACATGAACTATTATAGTTGTTGTAAATTAAATTTAGCATGTAGAATTTGTTTTCTTAAAACTAAATTGCCCTTATCCAAACTTTTTTTTTTCGTACTTATCTTTTCCAAAATAAGTGAAACTAAAGTGAACAAAATAAGACATTAAATATACAAACACATTTAATATATTCATAATTTTACTAATAAAACCTCTATCCCCGTTTTTAATACTTGCAACATTTTCTTAAAATGAAATTATCACAATGCGTGCAAGTTGTGCACACATTATAACTGCAAAATTAATTTAGGACCCGTTCACTTCACCTTATTTTTGCTGAATTTAAATTAATTTTTATTGATTTTCTATTATATTTCAAATATTGATTTTTACTGAAGTGAAATTATTTTTGCGAAACTGAAATTACTTTTACTAATTTGAAATTATTTTTACTGAATACTCCATCCATCCCATAATATAATTTCTATTTATGTTTTTCATGGTATTTATTAACTATTACTAAAATAGAAGACGAGGACATCATCACTGCCCACATGTCATTCTCTTAATAAAAATTTTCCCGCCTAAATGCAATGATGATGTCATTTTTTTGTGTGTAGAGTTTTCCTATTTAACATTTGTGAAATTTAAATAACAAAAGCTTTTATCTTACAACTAAAACCTATCAATTTATTGAAGGAAATTGAAACAATTGTTAATAACACACTAATAAACGATCTCCTATATTGAACTATGAATTAGACGACGTCGAACAAATACTATATCATAGTTTTGATGAAAATAAAAGATTTTAAATTACAAAATGTACGTAATTCTTATTTATATTAATGTATAATAGTGATTTATTATTAAAATGTACAAATTAAAAATAGGTTTTATATAAACAGTGTATCGCACGGGATCTAACCTAGTTTAAGATATAGGAGGAGAAAGTGGATAAAGTACATTAATAGAAGTGAAAAGTGCCATCATAGACAAAAGTTAAAGAGAGAAAGTAAAATAAAAAAGTACTCGTACAAGACATGTGCAAAATTCAAGGGTAAATTAAGAAGTACAATGAATAAAGTTTTAAAAGTGGGGGTATAATAGTCTTTATATGTTGTCTAAAGATAGAAACAGGAACAATATTTTTGTTATCCAAAATAAGAAAACAAGAACTATATTATAGGACGATTGGATGAGGGAGTATTCTTTTGTAAGGTGAAGTGAACATGTAAAATTCAATCCCACCAATCAATCAATAATCATCAATCAATAACTATATATACTAAAAGACAAACTAGTAATGACACATGTCATCTCCTGCTGTGTCCTTAGTGTTTTTTTTTTTGAAATTATATTAAAGAAATAAAATTTATACAAAAATAATTCCCTAATATTATACGATATAATTACTAAAAATAAAAAAATTCGACATATCTTTAACATAAATTTTTATATAGTTATAACAAAAAATTCTTAACATAATTTTGATTATTTTTTACATCATTTTATATTTAACATATCTTTTGTAATTCAGTAATTTGATCAAAATTTGTCAATTATATTATTAGTTTTTTATGTTTATAAAAACTAATTATAATAATGATAGTTTAATAATGGTTATTAAAAATTACCGTGCATGAAACGGGAATTAACCTAGTTTTAACTTATATATTAATTTGTTAAATAATGTGAAGTAAAATAAAAGGGGTAAAGTTGGAAAAAGGAAAAAAAGAGAGATAAAAGGGGCAAAGTTGGAAAAAAAGAGATGAAAGGGGCAAAGTTGGAAAAAAGGAAGAGAGAGGAAGCAAGTGGGTAAGAAGTAAGGAAGAGAGAGATAAAAGGTGAAAAAAGAGAGAAGACGGCATTACAAACCAAAGTCAAGACTCAAGAGCAAAGCGCAGTGAGTTTGTTGAATTTGTAAGTTGTAACCTTAACCTGCGTTTTACACACACAATTTAAAAAAATCAAAATAGGAGAGAGAAAGAGAAAGAGAAAGAAAGAGATTTGTTCGAAATCGAAACCAAACCCTTGAGGTTTGAGGAAGAGGAAGAAGAGGAAGAGGAACCAGAACCAGAACCAGAATTCGAGAGAGAGATTCAATGGGTGATAAATTGCTGCAACAGCAGCTCAAAGACTTGGGATCCAAGTTGGAAGCTCCTCCTTCTTCCAAAGATTCTCTGCTCAAGCTTTTCAAGGTTTCTATCTTCCCTCGATTTCAGCTCCCTTTCTTCTATTTTGCTTTCTTAATTTTGGGGTTTTCTGGGTTTTTGTGCTCAATGTTATATTTACCCTG